ACGTCGACGTCTTAGTATTTAGATCATATCTTGACCTAGGAATGTCTAAATCAAGTGATTTTTTTTTTCAATTGGAAATAAAACTCAAAGGGCTACAAATTTTATGAAGACCATAAAGCCAAATTCTGTTGTCACGCACCCCATCACGTCGTGACAAGTTGCGTGACGGGCATTTTCAATAGCTGTCTTTTGTGTCTCACGCACGAGGTAACTAGCCTTGTGACATCCTATTCCAGTGCGCAAATTCATTTTGCTGTCATGAAGCTCATTACCTCGTGATGGACTGGGCCTCATGACACGCGACTCCCAAATTATATAATGCCGATTTTCTCTCATTTCTCTTTGGCTTTCGTCCCCAGTTGAATCCTAGGCAGTTGAGCTCGTTCTCCTTCATTTATTTTCATATTTTTAGGGTAGATTAACTGTAGATTTAAGTTCTTTATCATCTTTGAAGTTTGTATTGAAGATTCTACTCTTAGATTGGGAGATTGTTCATCCATTCTCAATATAGATAAGTTATTCTTTCCTTTATCTATTTCATTTGCAATATCTATATTTATTAGTTGTGTTTTTGCTATGTTTATGCTTAATATGTGTGAGTAGTTAGTTTATGAGCTTGAACTAGGGTTGCATTGTCTATCTTAATGCTTTATTTGTGATTAGTGCATGATGGGCAGAACTCTAACATAAGGTTTATGTGTTTATATCTTGTTAATATTTGATGTACACATTCACTAGCATGCTTTTGGAGAATTATTGGCTACAATGAGAGTTGGGTCAAGGATTCGAGCAAACCCTTGCATAAACCGGATTTCTTCCTATGAAAATATGAAGAATTAGGGGCTTTAGATGTTTTGTGTGCTTGAAGAACTTAGAGTTGATTCACCACGAGAGTGTGACGATTCTTTGTTCTAATTCTTATTTATTTGCTCATGAAAGCGGCTTTAAAGTTTAAACTAAGATACCTACGTGATTCATTGATTATTTGTTCTTTTTGATATGATCCCATAGGTTATTGAAGAAATACCTTTTACAATTTATCTTGAAATTAAAGAAATAACCTAACTTGCCAAATGCCTTGTGGTCAAGCGAGCATAACTGTAGCCCCTTAGATGAAAGGTCTTTGTGTATTGTTGGTTGGTTGGTTCGCTGAAGCAATAGACTTCAGATTTGTATTCAAGTGTGAAGTATGTTATATATTAAAGAGTAAATACCCAAAATGGTCCCTCGACTATAGCTAAATTCACAAATTGGTCTTTGACTTTTGATTTTAACCAATTAAGTCCTTAACTTTGCAATTTTAACACGATTTGGTCCTCCGTCTATTTGACCGTTTGTTGACTGTAATTTTTGAGGATATATATGTAATTTCATGGTCCATCGTCGATTTTTTAAGGTTCCGGTTGCATTTTCAGACCACACTGTTACATTTGAATCCACCGCCGAAAGCAATTTGCCAAATCCTGTTGCCTTTCTTCATCATCCCTTTGGATTCAATGTAGTTGAGTTCGTACCAGAGTGAAGAATACAACGTGTTTCCGAACCGGTGCAGCGTCATCCTGGAGGCCTCCATGTGCTCCCGTGAGAGCTGCGGGTTCTTCTGGAAATCGTCGATGACGACGCGGGCGCCGGCGTTAATGCAGAAGTGTTCGAAGGACCAAATTGTGTTAAAATTGCAAAGTTAAGGACTTAATTGGTTAAAATTGAAAGTCGAAAACCAATTTGTGAATTTAGTTATAGTTGAGGGATTATTTTGGGTATTTACTCTATATTAAATAATGTGCAAATGATATTTTTGATATTTGTAATATAAAAGTTATTCTTAAGAGTATGATAATAGCTAATATCAAGGGTTCCCTATGAATGACTATTTCCCTTGCAAAGGTAATTCATTCATAGAAATGTTATTATATTATAATATATTTTACGAACCAAATATGTCATTAAAGTTGCTCTATTTCATTAAAATACATTTTACAACTTATCTCATTTGCAACATCTTAATAGAGAGACAATGAAATTCTTTGAAATTTCTTAGGGTTGGGGTTCAATCTTTTGGAAGAATGAAACTCTTTGAAATTGGGGTTAAATCTTATTTATAACCGAATAATCATGCCGGCATAAAATTGAGTGCGTCTAGCCTAACTGTGAAAGCTACATACAGGGACCATAAACATTATATATATAATATATATTGATACAAAAACTGAAAAACCTTAATATCACTGTTGTAAAGCAATTCTTGATTTCAAAATTTTGAACGAAAAATCCTTTTTTTTCCCAGACAATGGCCCCATAAGCTAAAGTTGATTAAATAGTCACCCTGGTCATAACCAAACACCCACAAACAAAATGAAAAAGGAAACCTTCTTCGGAAGAAAATAAGTGAAACATGATTTTTGTACTAAACGGTCACGAATTCATTAACATTTTTTTAATTGAACCCATTATATAGAACTTTCTAATACGGTTTATCTCTCTTGTACAATGTACGAGCTATTGCACAAAAATAAAATTTACTTATTGCAAAACTTATTTATGGTGTGCTAATTTGGTTCACACATATATGGAATCGAAATGAGAATAAAATACTTGGTATTGGTAATGGTAACGCGTTTTGGTGAAAGTATTTTGTAAATATGGTGGAATTGGAATGATTATCAATATTGATGTTTGGTTATCTATGACGACCCTATAATGGGAATAAAAGTTTTAAAAATACAAAAACAAAACAATCAAAGACAATTGGTCATAATATAATGACATCCAAAGCACCAATATGAACAAAAAATAAAAAAAAAAAATCTAAAAGCACTAATTCAAACTTAAAAATCAAATTACCTGGAATGATACCCAACTTTAATTAAGAAATGAGATTTTTAATTGATCGAAGCGATAATCAAATCTCATAGTTGTGTTCTAAAAAATTGTCAATCAAACGCTAACTATAATTTTAATTCTTATTCGTGATGTATAAATTCATGAACCAAACACACCCTTTTAGTATTTCTCTACTGTGGGTGGACTTCATTGTCGTAGTTAACAATTAGCAGTTTTGTTTACGTTTTCAGTAATAATTGATTCAAATAGGTAGTCCCTACCTAAAGGAAAATGAAAGCTACTTTCAAAAGGAATCCTTGATGTTAATCATAGACGCAGTTGCTATTCATCATTAGACAAAATTCTTTACTTCATTTTCTGCAAATATTTATGGCTGCATTTGCATATGAATGGATTTTGTTTGTGACACGATTTTTGTTTTGTCGGTTTTTTTTTTTTTTTTTTTTGGTATTGTTCATTTAAAGAGTTAATTATGTCACAACTAAAAAAGTTGAGATTTCCCACATCGATCAGAAACCTAAAGTCGGTCATAAAATATTTAGTTTGGGTTAAAAAGTTGAGATTACTAAGCTCATGCGCAAAACTGTACAGTACAGTTTGATATTGAATCTCGAAGTTAGATTGAAATAATTTACTTCCTCGTGGACTTGGGAGGCGAGTCAAGGGTCAAAGACTCTAATAGGACAAAAATAACATGAGTAGACAAAAATATGACACTTTTAAAAGTTATACAAAAATAAGAAAAACTCATTTCTCAAAGCGTATGTTATCAGAATATTTATTTTGTTTTTATTTTTTTTTCGCGGTCAAACAAACACGCAAGTAGAATTTGCGTATCTCGTATTTTTATTTTTATTATTTTAAAAAATTTCGTCTCCGGCAACCAAACTGGTCGCTTTCTCCTTTGTCGGAGAAGCCGGCGACCAAGTTTTTTTGTTGTTTTTAAATAAAAATACGAGATACACAAGTGGGACCGCGAAAAAAATAAAAACAAAATAAATATTCTGACAAAATACGCAGTTGGGAAATGCGTTTTTCCTATTTTCGTCCAACTTTTAAAAGTGTCATATTTTTGTCTACTCTTGTTATTATTGTCTTAGTAGAGTCTTTGACCCGGCGAGTCAATGGGGTTCAGGATATGGTCCCACAAAACCGAGAAATAGAAGATTCTCCAGTTGTGTATTATCAAAGAGGTTGAATGGTATCCAAAGCTTAAGGTTTGAATTGTGAATGAATCTTGAGCCCTAAGCACCCCATTTGAAAGGGAAAAAGAACATCTACCTATATTCTTCTAAGACATGTTGTCAACCAATATTTCATCATTTGGACAAAAGCCCCCCATCATCATCCACTAGGAAGACAACAATCTTAGCTTGTTATACAGTCTTACCTATATAGTTTTATACAAGAAGTTGTCACACTATCTACCAAGGGTTCACTGCCTTTCTATATATATTTTCATGTTTTGTTCTGCAACAAAATGCAGAAACAATGCACTGTTTGTGGTTTCATGAATCTGCTCATTTACCTACCCAAGAAAACAGCTGTCTCACCAGAATTTCATATACTGCTACTCTGTAGTACACTAGACATAGGACAACATAATACAAAAAATGGTAATTGAGATACTTTATAGGTTTAAGCCCTAAATCGGAGGGTCCCCGACCCCCGACTCTGGGGATTATGAAAGGAAATAAATCGCGGGATGTGTCTTAGTGCTTGCTTGGGTATTTGCTGGGTCACTAAACTTACATGCAACCTTTCGACCATTGACCTATATCCCGCGAGCACTGAGTTACTTCATGATATTAAGAGTGACACTCTGTGAGATCTGTGAGACGGGTTGAGTTTAGATAGAAATGTAATACTTATAATGGAAATTGTAATACTAATTATTGATAAATTGATTGTTATTTATGAGGAAAAGTGTGATACTTTAAAAAAATATATAATAATTTGAGTTGAATAGTTACTTATATAGAAAAATGTAATACTCGTGAATAACCTGACCCGTCTTAGGTCTCATAGGAGTTTTGCTTGATATTAATAACCTGAAATCTCTGAGGACAATAAAGTCATTTCACCGTGCAATATAATACCGGTTTATAAGAAAGAAAGGGAGAAATGTTGAGATATATATACTTATTATATATAGCCACTTTAAACCAAGCTAGTAGTAGAGTGGGTGAGAAAAAAAACCACAAAAGCTACAATGCCCCATTCTTCTGAAGCACAAAACTAAAGGCAAAAAAAAAGGGAGAATTGAAGGAGAAACCAAAAGGGGGCAAGTTGCTAACAAGCCTATATATATTCAGGTGCAATATAATGGCAAGTCCAAAACAGGTGATGGAACAGCAGCAGCAGACACAGCTGCAGATCCCTCTCCTGAAGAACTCCTCAGGAGTGATCAGCTACAGCGGGAACACTCCAATGGGGGACGACAAGGCGGAAGAGATGACCCGAACAGCCCTCTCCACCTTCCGTGCCAAGGAGGAAGAGATCGAGAGGCGAAGGAAAGAGGTCACCGACAGGGTCCAGGCACAACTAGGCCGCATGGAGGAAGAATCCAAGCGCCTAGCAGAAATCCGCGAGGTACATACACAAAATGATACTGCAACGAAGTAGCCATAATATAATGGCTCTGTTTGGCAGAACTTATTTAGGAGCTTATAGTTCATTTTAAGCTACTAATAAGCTATTGTCTGCAAATGAACAACATAAAACAACAACTACTGCAACATGATATACATACTGCAACGAAGTAGGCATAATATAATGGCTCTGTTTGACAGAACTTATTTAGGAGTTTATAGTTCATTTTAAGCTACTAATAAACTATTGTCTGCAAATGAACAGCATAAAACAACAACTACTGCAACATGACATACATACATGCATATATACATACATTGTTGAATCTTGAGGGGCTTTAAAACCCGACGTTATATTGTTGATTTATTGTTGGATTTTGATTTGAATTCAAACGGGATCAGGCGCTAGAAGGGTTTGTTGATCCCGCGGGGAAGGAAGCTGCAGTGGTGCGCAAGAAGATTGATGTGGTCACTAGAGAATTGAAGTCACTGGGGCAGACCTGCCAGAGAAAGGTGAAGCATGCCAATTACTTTTTAAAGTTGCTTTAGTAATTTCCCTCAAGGATTCATGCATTATTATTATTATCTCTGCAACTTTTTGAAAAGCCAGAATCCAAAGATTAGCCTGCAACAGTACTTTTGATCCTTTCCAGTTTCCACCTCAACTGCTAAATTTGATGAATTCTTCTTCTTCTTCCAGGAAAAGGAGTATAAAGAAACCCTGGATGCATTTAATGGGAAGAGCAAGGAAAAAGCTCAGCTAATCACCAAATTAATGGAGGTAATGTGATTGGGTTAGCTTAATTTCACACTGCATACCGTTGGGCAGAGCCCAGTGAAGGGCCAAGTCCAACACCAAGTGATTAGGTAAGGAATTATTGGGCAGAGGCATGAAGGGCCAAGTCCAGCACTCCAAAATCTGCCTCTCGAAAATATGGCGGTGTAAGGAAATAAAGTTGCATATTCGCTACTAGTTATATCTTTTGGCGTAGTGCTAAGCGGGCAGATGCTTGGGAATTATTGGGTGGCCTGGAGGCCAGTCAAAGGTCAAATTCAGCGTTAGGTGGCTAGAGGATCGTTAAGCGGAGGCCTAAAGGGCTAAGTTCAGCACTCTAGAACCAGCCTCTCGAAAATATGGCGGTGTAACGAAAAAAATTTGCGTCTTCGCTACTAGTTATATCTTTTGACGTAGTGCTAAGCGGGCAGATACTTGGGAATTGTTAGGTGGAGACCAGTCAAGGGTCATATTCAGCGTTAGGCGACTAGAAGATTGTTGAGCGGAGGCCTGAAGGGCCAAGTCCAATTACGCTTGCTATTGCTTTTGGTGTAATGTAAGGTCTTAATCATAACAATAAGTGATGGAAACATTGTCTTTTTTATTTGTTTGTTCAGCTGGTGAGTGAAAGCGAAAGAATGAGAATGAAGAAGCTTGAAGAGCTGAGCAAGAATGTTGATACTCTGTGCTGAGGTGCTTAGCTATGGGGGTCAACTTCTCTTCACTTGAGAACAAATTCCTCTGTGAAATTGTAACATTTTCTGTGTTTAGTGTCTATCTCTGTACTCTGTATCTGGTTTTCTGCAGTCAGGATTGAGTTTCCTTCTTCTGTATTATGTTTGTAAAGAATCATATGATTGGGCTTTCCTGTTACAGTATAGCAAAATGGGTTTTAAGAGTAACATCCTTGGTTAGCTATAAATGAATTTAAGTAGTAGCGATAGTAAATTTTTTCGTAAATCAAAATTGTCAATTGCTATTATAATCATAACAAATTACAATTGAATCGGTGGTATAAGATTTTTCTAATACAATTTACTTATTTCGTGTGATTTGTGAGTTATTATACATGAACGAGATTGGCCAAATACATATTAATGAATAGTGATTGTGAATTTTTCCTAAAAAAATAAAAATGATAAAAGACTCATCTTCCAAAAGCAATGTTGAAAAAATCGCTGGGCGTCTGGGGACCGGCTAAGGCGCCTAGAGCACCTAAGTGGGCGCTTAGGAGGCCGACCGCCTAGCGAATCAGCGTCTAGGCGCGATTTTTGCAACACTGTCCAAAATGTTGAATCCCCAAGCACCAGGACCTTCCACATCCGGTCCGACAGAGTATTCAGGAGGATGTGAATTATAGTGACTTAACAGACATGACTAAATGTCGATATTTTCATTTTCTCACATGATCACTGTCAAAGTTCGGACATTGATATTCTTTTCCAAATATTACCATTATTGAGCTAAACTCGTAGGACAATTTTTTTTTAAAAAAAAAGTAATAAAACTATACATAATAATCCGAGGTACTCCGTATAACATTTGGTTCAAATCATAATGAATGATTAAGGAATTCAAATTAATTTAATTTAATTTATTTGCGGGTCAAAAAGTAAGTCTAACTTGATTTGGAGTTAATTTCGGAGTTCGGACCCTACTCCACAGACCACGAGGAGTGGAGGACCAGAAACCCTAACGATGGAAATTCAAACCGAATTCCCGGGCGCAGGGAAGATGCTAAACGAGAATCTGAGTTCAAATTCAAATTCGAAGCCTAAGGTAATAGTGATAATGGGAGCAACAGGGGCCGGAAAATCCAAACTCGCCATCGACCTTGCTTCCCACTTCCCTGTTCAAGTCATCAATGCCGATTCCATGCAGGTATAGAACTATATGAATAATTTTTGAGCAATTATATTTATGTGTAGTAGATATTCCTATAGTGCATTAATAATGCTTCTTCATGCATTTCTAGGTTTACCAAGGATTAGATGTGCTAACCAATAAAGTCCGTCCTGAAGAGCAGAAAGGTGCTTCCTTGTTCCTTTCCTCCTGTTTCCCACTTCATGTACTTTGTCTGTGTGCTTATACGCTCATGCCAATGTTCTCCCTTTTTTTTTTTTTTTTTTTTTTTTTTTTTTTTTTTTTTTAAATAAAATTAAAAAATTCTCCTTGCTGGGGATAGGCGTGGTACATCATCTTCTTGGTACCATCAGCTCGAATGTAGAATTTACGGCAAAGGATTTTCGCGATCATGCTATTCCTGTAAGTCATTTTCTGTCAGTTTTGCCAATTTCTGTAACTACAGTACACTTACTTTTCATATTTCCTATTAATGCTTTTATTCAAAAATTTATATATTTTTTCATTAATTGTGATTATGCAATTGGATGTTTTGTGTTTTTCTTTTCTTGTTATCTAATTATGCAAGTTACTTAAGAACAAAAGACCTTTTCCTGCATTGGCAATTAAAATGTTTTGGGTGCAAATTAGTTGATGTTTTTAGCAATTGTTTCTAAACCACAGATTGTCAAATTATGTATTCTAGATACCAATAGCCAGTACAAATGCTTTCGTTTGTTTGCATGATTAGCTATGATGTTTTTTGACATAACAATCATTATGCGACTATAGATAGTCTTTTCCTTTCTATGAGTCTGGCATTTTCTCTTATGCTATGCTTCCAGTAGCCACATGCTCATGTTATTTTATTGCTTTCTGCCATGTTGTACCTGAGGTTGCACCCTCTTTTTTTTTTTTTTTTTTTTTTTTTTTTTTGTGTGTGTGTGCTTCCCTTTTATAAATAATTATACTGCAGAAATTGTGATGAGTCAACACTTGCTGGTCTTTTCTCTGATAGACTACTGGATTGATCTTTTTGATTTTCAGCTCATTGATGAAATATCATCCCGTAATTTCCTGCCTGTCATTGTTGGTGGAACAAATTACTATATACAGGTTGGTGTTGCTTTCTCGGTAAAAGTGTGGTTAATAAAGTCAAATGTCTAAGAATTTTGTGCTGTTGTTTGTATCATCAAGGAACTGATAGCAGATAAACTCAGTATTGTTAGATCCAGGATAAAAACCATATAATTGGTCAATTGAATATTGTGGCATATCTATCCCCTATGTGCTTTAGAATTTGCAGGTTCTAATTATTAGTCCTGAGATTTCTGTGAACTTTTATAGATCTTTTGCTTTGTTTCATGCAGTCCCTCTGTTTGCTGTTGCACCAATTACTTTCACAACAAAGTTTTCTATTTTAAGTGTCATGCAGCTAAACAGTTTGTTGTCTTGAATAATTTTTGCCTTTCCATTAAATGATCATTCTTGCAAAACATTGTGCTGATTGTCCCTGTAAGTTGTTGGTATCGAGGTTTAGCATTAAGTTAAAACTTAAAATTTGAGCTGTTATGAACATTAATGTTAGTAATGTATTTTCACTTCTAAGATTTTTGGTAATTGGCCCCCCTCTCTATTAAGTCATTCTAATCTTTGTTATTCTTTAATTCTACACTGCTCGTTCTATTCAGTCTCTTGTTAGTCCATTCCTTATGGATGTTGCTACTGAAGATACAGAAGTAAATTGCTTACTGGATCCCCCTGGTAAAAGACTTGTTGTTTGAGAAGCTGTACCAACATCTATACAGACAAATATGTAACTTCTTCTTGATATCTAAAAATTGCATGCACATTTACCTCTTTTTGCAGAAAATGAGCAACCCTGTCCTGAACTCAAAATTGAGCAAGAAAGTTTTGATTATACTTATGATTGCCTTAAAGCTATTGATCCAGTTGCAGCCAATCGACTTCATCCAAATGATCATAGAAAGGTGATCCCAAATCACAATGTTTTCTACCTTTTGATGCTCAATAGTCAATACAATCACATTTGAAGAAAAAATGTGTCTTGATATTATCCATTTAGCCATTCAGAATTCCTATGGGAATCTGACAAATGAAAATCTGATAGTGAGTGGGGCATGGTACTTAGGATTACTCTGATTATTATGCTTGCCTAGAGGATCGTTGGTTGTGATATAGTACTTTAGCTTCTCAATTTATGCATTGGGTTAAATTGAAGCTTTGTTGTCATTCTCTAAACATTTGCTGTATGATTCTATTTCATTTTACTACTTTAGTTTTGTCTCACTTCAGTACATGAGATATTGGGTTTTATCTTAGGTAGTCCTCTACTTATAGTCAAACTTTTCAGCCTCAACTAGCTCTTTTAGAGTGTGCACCATATGAATTCTAATTGCCATTTTAGCTTCATTGGATGTCTATATACTTTAATACCTAGCAGTATTAGTGTATTACACGAATGCATTTTGTATGCAGTTCTCTCATTCACGGTTCACGGTATCAATTTTGAAATTATTACCAAGTGAGAAGCTGCTTTGGTCTTCAAATTGTGAAAAGCGAAGGCATTACATTAACATGTTTCTTGTGGAATATGCATGTATTTTTAGCTAATTCTCCATTGTTTACATGTAATATAGGTCCATCAATACCTAAACTTGTATGCACGATTTGGTATTCCTCCAAGTAAAGTTCTTCAAGAAAAGACTGCAGAGGTATGAGTGTTTATTTATTCTTAAGAGTATATACTTTCCAGCTTAATATCAGTTGATTTCAAGCAAAAAGGTTTGATGTTTATGCTACATGTCTATATGGTGTTTGACTGTTGGATTCTTTTGAGAAAATAAATACTCTATAGCTTTTGTTTTGTGCGTCTGTGTATGAGAGAGAAAGGGGCTAGGTTTTGTTATACATGCATATACAGAGTATTTATTATGGCAATTTGGCCTACTCCATCATATGAGTAATTCATTACAAAATTAAGTGGTGTCTATTTATCCTTTTTAACCGTTTAACTTCATTCTCTTTGAGAAATCAAACATGTTTTTAAACAGGTTAGGATACTTGAATTAGTATTAGTGTACTAACTATTACAATATTACAATTGGATGAGATGATCTGCAATTCTATATCATACTCATGTTCTATTTTGCACCTGGCAGGACAGAACTGGGGTCATGTTGATAATTCAAGATTTGATTTCTGTTTCATATGTGTGGATGCATCTCTATCGGCACTGGACCCTTTTGTTGACAAAAGGGTCGATGACATGATTGAAGCTGGCCTGCTTGATGAAGTTTTTGACATTTACCGGTCTGATGCAGACTATACGAAAGGCCTGCGACAAGCCATTGGTGTTAGGGAATTCAACGACTTTTTGACATGCTATTTTCATAAACATGAAGAATCTTGTGATGCATCCCTCTCCCAAACATGGAGTATCGAGTCTTTTAAACAAACTATACAGGATATTCTATATGGTTCTTGTGATGATGAGAGAAAAGTTCTTCTCACTGCAGCTATTGATCAAATGAAATTTAACACCAGAAGACTAGTTCGCCGCCAAGTAAGGAAAATCTAATTTGCAACCTTTGTATGCTTCCTCCTGTACACTTGAAACCAAAAGTGAAATTTACTCAAATAGTTATCCAATTGGAAAGCGTTAAATTCTTCATTGTTGACGACTTTGTTGTTCCCAGAGGAGAAGGCTTCAACGCCTGCAAATGCTCTTTGGATGGGAGATACATTACATTGATGTTACAAGCTCCATATTAGGTATGCTAGTCTGCCTCTGAATTTGCAATTTTTTTTTTTTTTTTTTTTTTTTTTTTTTTTTTTTTTAATCTGTGATTCTGAATTCAAACAACATGGGTCTCTGTAGGGGCTTCTGATGAGACCTGGGCAGCAGAAGTGGTCTTGCCAGCTGCGACCACAATAGAATCCTTTCTCAATCGCCAATCCTGCCCGGAAAACGCCAGAAATAACACCGACAACATAAAACTAAAGCAAAGGGATCTCTGGAGTCAGTATATTTGTGAGGTTAGTAATGTCTGTAATCTTTCACTACTCTTATTTCTTGATCTTCTGCGGAGAATGCAAGTAATGCATCTCTTCTGGTCATCATAATGGCGATCGTTGTAATTATAGGCATGCGGGAACAAGGTCCTTAGAGGTGCTCATGAATGGGAACAACACAGACAGGGCCGTAGCCATCGAAAACGAATTTCTAAGCTTAAGAAGTTTGAGAGAATGTCTGTAAATTAGCAGCACCATCACATTTTCTTCTCGCTAGGCCTGCAAAAATGACTCTAGGAAACCATTATGCTCCTTCAACCTTAAATACCGTCTTCTTTTTCATCTTTCTTATGTTCTTATCTATGCTTCATATTTCATAGCCAGTATGCTTTTTCATTCTAAATAATTACAAATAAGTATATTTTGGAAAGGTTTTTTTGCCCGAATAATTGATCTTTTTTCCCTCTTAAGTCTATAATGTATATTGGTATATATACTCCTCAATTTTTTTGTCATTCTAGTTGATTATCCCACATTTTGATTGCAGATTTAGGAGATCAAAAACCTAATTAAAAAAACGTGTGCATACTGCATAAAGGAATCACAAATTACTTTAAATTGGAGTGGAAAATCTAAATTTTCAGTTTTACCTTTCATTTTAACACTAACTTAACGCCAAAGTTAACAGAAACTACTTTGACTAAAAATTTGAAAATCAAAAGGCGACTTTAAAAAAATTAAAAGTCAAGAAACAAATTTAAAAAAATGTCATAGTAGGAACTATTTGGGAATTAACTCTTAATAGTAACATGCATATACTTTCAACAAAATAGTAACATGCATATAAAAAGGAGTATTATTTTTGGAATTTCCGGGGGTGGAATTCTTCAGAAATCCCAGCTCGGTGAATTCGTCGCCGGCGAGCATGGAAATAACGAGCATGACCCAGGCCATGCAGCTCCATGCGCGAATCCTCAAGTCCGGCGGTGCATATGATTCCACTCACGCCCAAGATTTCCACAAGCTCTTCACTTTCTCAGCTCTCTCACCTGCCGGAGACTTAAACTATGCCCGCCATATCCTAAGGACCCTCCATACTCCCAACTCCTTTTACTACAACACCATGATTCGTGCCTATTCCGACTCACCCGACCCGACCCACGCCTTCGCCCTCTTCCTCCACATGCAGAATCCCGACGACCCCTCCGTCGCCGTCCCCCAACCCGACCATTTCACCTACCCATTTGTGCTCAAAGCTTGCTCCAAGTCCGGTCACGCCCGCTTCGGGAAGCAAATCCATGGCTTGGTTTTCAAGTCCGGTGTCGGTTCGGACAGGTATATTAACAATGCTCTCATCCATTTTTACTCGGCTTCGGGTGACCCAAGCCTTGCTCTCAAGGTGTTTGATAAAATGCCTGACCGGGATGTGGTTTCCTGGACGTCGATTATCGATGGCTTTGTTGATAACGAACGGCCCATTGAGGCGATCGGGTTGTTCACACACATGATTGAAAATGGAATTGAACCGAATGAAGTTACGGTAGCTTCTGTGCTCAGAGCCTGTGCTGACACTGGAGCTTTGAACACTGGGAAAAGAATCCATAGCTTTGTGAAGGAAAAGGATTTTAGTTCTAATGCTAATGTGAGTACTGCTCTGATTGACATGTATGCGAAATGCGGATGCATAGATGGGGCATTGCAAGTTTTTGATGAAACAATTGATAAAGATGTGTATGTATGGACAGCAATCATTGCTGGTCTTGCTAGTCATGGACTATGCATGAAGGCTATAGAGTTTTTCGAAGATATGAAGAAATCTGATGTAAAGATGGATGAAAGAGCAATAACAGCTGTTCTATCAGCATATAGAAATGCTGGCTTGGTTAGCGAAGGCTTGTCATTTTTCAGAAGATTGAAGAAACATAAGATAAGGCCGACGATTCAGCATTATGGATGCATTGTAGACATGCTCACTCGAGCTGGACGTCTAAAAGATGCTGAGGAGTTTATTAGAAAGATGCCCATTGAACCAGATGCTGTGTTATGGAGGACACTGATATGGGGTTGTAAACTCCTTGGAGACGTGGAGAGGAGTGAGCGTCTAGTGAGAGAGCTTGAGCTTTTGAATATGGATTCGCGGGACACAGGAAGCTATGTGCTTCTTGAGAATGTGTATGCAGCAACTGGCAAATGGGAGGAGAAGGCCAAAACACGAGAACTGATGTATCAGAGAGGGCTAATGAAGCCCCCGGCATGTAGTAGGATTGAAATCGAGGGGGTGGTTCACGAATTCACAGCGGGAGACTCTAGACACGATGAAGCCACAACTGTTTTTGAAAAACTGGAAGAGGTGGAGGAGAGGTTGAGAGGGGAAGGGTACAATCCAATAGTTTCTGAGGTGCTGCTTGAAATTGATGATGACGAGAAAGCATCTCAGTTGCTCCACCACAGCGAGAAACTTGCAGTTTCGTTTGGACTCATGAAATCAAGTCCAGGGTCTGTCATAAGGATTGTGAAGAACTTGAGGTCTTGTGAGGACTGCCATTCTTTCATGAAACTTATCTCCAAGGTATACCAGAGGGATATCATTGTGAGAGATAGGATTCGTTTCCATCATTTTAGTGGTGGGAACTGCTCTTGTGGTGATCATTGGTAATGGTTTTTGTTCTTTTGATGAGAGTTGATTAGAGTTCTTTTTTTAAAAAATAAATCTTGGAACTAGCATTGGCTGTTGACCTGTGTTGGGCGGAGGCTGGTGAGGCCAAGTCGCTAGGAAGATTGTGGCGGTATATAGGAAAATAAAGTTGCGTTTTCGCTGTGAGTTATAACTTTTGGCGTAATGGTAAGCACATGATCCTAACAAGTGGGACGAGAAATTGTTGGGTGGAGGTCGGTGAAGGGCCAAGTAGCTAGTGGGATTGTGGCGGTATATTAGGAAATAAAATTGCGCTTTCGCTGTGAGTTATAACTTTTGGCTTAGTGGTAAGCGCATGATACTAACAAGTGGGAGGGGAAATTGTTGGGTGGAAGCCGGTGAAGGACCAAGTCCAGCAATTGGTGGCTAGAAGATGGTTGGACAGAGGCCGGTGAACTTCTCTACCCACCTTTATGAATTCTAACCCGTATTTGATGGTCGGCGTGGCGATAGGCTTCGTTTCGTAGACTGCCTTCCCAGCCGTTGAAACACTGCGGCGTGGTGGCAGGACCGCTAGGGGAGTGGCTCCGGGTGTAGATAGGGTTCAATTTGCAGGGGTCGTCCCTTTATGATATGCCTTTCCCGATCGGCGCCTTGGGTCGGTAGCCGGGCTCCGGGACCTCCAGCTCTCACAAGAATTGTATGGGAGTCGTCCTCGGAGGGACTTTCCGGGTTAAGGGGGAAGGTCTTTTTCTGTTTTTCCCAGGGGAGTCCAGTACCCTGCGTCTAAAAAATGTGGCAATATATGTGGTAAGCGCTTGATCCTAACAACATGTAACATAGTTAATGTTATATGTTGCTTACAGATGCTGCCCTGCATTAAAGAAATGCAATTTGCCATGGAGTTCTGAATCCGTAGGCCAACTAAGATCCTAAGCATGTGATTACTTTTTTAAATTTCTTGATCATTATTTTTGTTAATTAATCAGATTTGTTTATTTATAACAAAAATGAATTTAAATGTCTGATACAATCTTGCTGATTGATCAGGATCTTGAAGAATATATGGGCCAGGTAATGAGTTGTTTTAAATAATTAATCATTATTGTTATTAATTAATGAACAGCACAAACATCACTGACTATTGGACGGTATGCAGAAACTTAGTAAACTAATACTTCTACCTTTACTAAGAAAATTTTCTACTGTAAGGTGCAATATTGAAAAAATCGCTAGGCACCTGGGGATCGCCTAGGGCGGCTAGAACGCCTTAGGAGGCCGACCGCCTAGCGCTTAGGCGTCGATTGGCGCGATTTTTGCAACATTGGTAAGGTGTTGCATTCTGTCTATGTTGACGACTGATTGTGATGGTGTGGATTTGTCAGTTGTCACGTTATGTTTGATTTGTTAGATTTATGGGATTAAATGCGGCAGTCTCCTCTTATATGACCATGTTGATTGATCTGCGTCATTGAATGAACTTAGATCAACGACTGAAAATCAATAAAAAGGAAAAAAAGATGCGATTACATTTTTGTAATTTTTTACACCAAGTATATTTCTGTGGTGCATTAAGTGCTAGTTTGTGGTTCACTTAGTAGTGGTCTGTGGTGCATCAAGAGATAATTTGTAGTGTACTAAGAGCTAGTTTGTGGTGCTGCACTTAAGGGATGATCTGTGGTGCATTAATGGCTAGTATGTGGTGCACTACCAAGTGTATGCATGTGCTTTGCGTTTGCCATGTGCGCGCTTTGTATGTCATTGATCTGAGCTCATCCAGTGACTTAAATTTGTTTGCGCGGTCGCACATGGGGGGAGGTTGCCACACCAGAACCATACCTTTTATATATTGACCCATCATTGATGTTCTCCAAGATCATAGGGTGTGAATGTGATGGCTATAATAAACTTAAATAATATATATAATTTCAAACAAATAAACAAGTCCCACGTTTCATTTCAAAAATAAAATAACAACAATAATAATACAACTATATTTACGCTGTACTTCACAACTTTATTAATGTGGAAGCACCAACTTATATATATTTATTTAATTCTATCATTGGGTAAAATACAGTTTTGGGACTTTTGGTCCTTCAGTTTTGACCAAATTATACATTTAGTCATTTAATTATTCAATTATTATTAAAGCTAAGTGACAGATTTTGTTTTTAATGACCAAATCAATCTCCAATATGCTACTAATCATAGTGACTAATTTGGTTTGAGGGATTAAAATGATCACTCTAAGTGTAATATTAACAGAAAGACTAAATTTACATTAAAATAATTTTAAAAAATTAAATCTAAAATTCAGTCATAATTAAAAGACTATAAATGTAATTTTCTTTAATCTTAATCTTAATTCACACCAACCCAATTAACGTGGAACTTGCTTGTCATATGTTGCTTGCACATGGTGCATTAAGGAAATACCTTCCAGTTGGCATTGGGTTTCGAACCCCAGCTTCAAATAGTCTTCCTAATAACTGATTTTTTTTATTAATTAATAATTTTTTTTATGATAAGAAATTTGCAGTCACTATATGATAGTACGTATTGGATAAACTCCGCTTTGTGACGTTAGCCAGCAAAAAATTATAATAAGGTAAATTAACTTAAATTGTTTATAATTGACCGGTTCAAATAAAAAAGTTAATAAACCGCTCCAATTGGAAGTTGAACTTATTTATAATAGATACTCTTCATTCCTTTAATTTCAGAAGTTTGAATTTTTAACCAATGCAGAATTTTAATTTCTGATACGATAGATGTTGTTAATTGATCATCAGGATCTTGAATGGAATAAATTAAATTAAATTATTGATATGATGTTCGATGGGCCACGAAACATCTTTAATTTGCTAATTTAATTAATCATTATTCTTATTAATGTACACCACACAATTAAAAGTCACAAAATCAACATGATTGAAAATTTTAGCTGGGCTCATTTTGGGGGAGGGGGTGAACATATGCAGTCGTTATACCATGGATCAAGTCCTAAATTATGTATTTTTAGTATTAGAATTGTGAACATCTAAAATATAAATTGTATGTTTTAGTTTTGAGAATTTGTAAATACAATACAGGGTCATTACAAATTTTGAATTTTAAAAGGTAAATTGTGAACATTTAATATGTAAATTGTATATTTTTGAATTCGAATCTACCTTACAAGGTGGACCCAGGTCCACAGAATAATTTGCCGAACACATTTATGTTTAAAAAACTGCCGTCACAACTCAATAGTTTGGATGATTAGTTATACCTGGTAATTTGTGATACAATTAATTAACACAATATGAAACCACACATGAAAATAACATATTAGTGTTTAGCCTTAACATGTCTTGAATAATTAACAAATTTGACCCCTTAAAATTCGGGTTTTAACAAGTCAACCTGTTTAACTAATTAATAATATGTTAATATTAGCTTTAGTTATGATTTTTAGATATTATCTTTTCATTTTATGAATATTATAGTATGCTATGAATTGAATATCTTTACTATTTTGTTGGATATAATTGTAGAATTTAGAAAAAAAAAAATTTTAAACTTTTTTTTCTTAAAAGAAAATTATATTAACACGTCTAATGCGTTTTTAATGGGTTATCGTGTCGTGTGGATCCGAAACATATTAATTAACTATATTGTTTCAACTCGTTTAACCTGTTTAAAATTCATGTTCGTGTTTAAAACTCTAACCTATTAATCTTAACATGTCGCACTAATGGATAATTCATTGACTCAATTAGATCTTTATTTGTTTGGTTAAGATTTCATATGATTTATTTCTCTTGAGTGGACTTCTACATATCATTGAATACCTCTTTGCACAATAAAGTGGTATATTCAAAGTAAAATATTAACAAAAATATCATCGTATTTTTTCATATTTTCCTGCTTTAATCTTCTCCAGCTCAACAATTGAGATCAATATGCAGTATTACCTGGGTTGCCCTGGGCAGGTGTTCTCACGGGATCACATATATATATATATATATATATATATGTGTGTGTGTGTGTGTGTGTGTGTGTGTGTGTGTTATGTGCATGTAGTTAACATATTAATTATGTGTCTGTAATTAACATATTATGCGCCTTCAATTTATTTACCGACACATAATTTATTAACTAAAGGCATATAATATGTTAAATGTATACATATAATTTTTGGATCTGAATTCGTAATGCATAGTAAACCCTGGTCCATAGTATAACAATTGCACAATGTAGTTAGGTAGTTTAGGTGACGTAGTAACATATATGTCACATTTATAAGAAGCAAACATTATTATTGTTTTCAAGAATTGAAGTGGCATGTCTCGCCCTATATGTGCATTATATTGTGGTCCAATTTTTTTTTTTTTTCTTAAATAATTTTACTTTTGTTTCGGCCTCCTACAAACTCATCTTGTCAACATCTCCTACTTTACTCACTCGTTTGTCCTCTGATTGATATATTCACTCTCATATTCCCTTTTTAATGTTCTCCTTTAATTTCAAGTCTTGCACTTATTGAATTTCAAAACATCCTCCAATCATATATTTTTGCTGTGTAATTATTAAATATATGATAATTAAAAGAGATGTATAAACCCTAAAATTTTAACAATTATTTCTCTGTCACGTAATGGTTGCATGACACAAATAATTAGATTTGAATAACCAGGTTTTTTTTTTTTTTTTTTTTTTTTTGAAAGTCAACCATTGGGTTGTATTTATAGATGAATCAAAATAGAGTCAGGGGGGACATTGTCCCAGTACATCGATAATGTATAATTAAAAGCAGCAGCTGCTAAAGTATGAGCTAAAGTATTATGCGATCTAGAAATAAAATTAACCGAACAATAATCAAACATATTTAAATAGGTTCTGCAGTCTTCCAGGACGTAACTAAGATAGGATCGTGTCTGGATAGTAGCTGACGACAAATAAAAGAGTAGTGCCTGACAATCTGTGAAGAGGCTAACTGATTGTTCCCCCCGGTTCTTGAGCCATGATAATACCTCTTTGCACGCCATAGCCTCCGCCATAAGCGGTGAGAAGCAACTTTGCGGAGGTGCAGAGAACGCTGATACATAGTCGCCAGTGTGGGTGAACAATACTGCTCCAGCGGTGGCCGTCATGGACGACGGGTGATATCCTGCATCGATGGGACACCGCCTTGGTTGGGGTAGATGATCTTCGGCATGTTGAGGTGGCGGCTGTTGTTGCAATAACACGGCAGAGCTGGCTGGTAACACAACTTGCGGCGGTACCGTGGGGTGTTGGTGGACAGCATTCAGCTGGTCGACAGTAGCATGTAGGCGCTGCCATGCCTTCATGACGGCTAAGGCCGTGGCTAACACTTTCTTGGGCATTGGTAGATAAGCATTCCACACCGCTTCGTTCCGGGCCCTCCAAATATTGTATAGTATCGCAGCTGCAAACAATATTACATCAGAATCTAGAACATCTAACAATGTTCCAAACCATTCATAAAAAACATTTGTCACAATTTGGGGGATTGGAAGGTTAGATTGGCTCCATATGGCTTTTGCATAGTCACACAACACTAATGAGTGCATTATATCCTCATGCATTAAACCACACATTGCGCATGTCGGATCAATTTCCACCCTCTTTATAAACAAGTTCTTAATAGTGGGTAATATATTGTTCATAGCTCTCCATAGGAACATTTTCCATTTTGGTGGTATCTTGAGTCGCCATAGAGCGTTCCATTTATCAAGACCCATGCTAGCATTATAGGTGCCCACTATAAGCCTGTATCCATTCTTCACTGAGTAGCATCCATTAGGATCTCCATACCAATACCAAGTATCCTCATAACCCGGGGAGATGGGGATCCTTAGGATTCTAGGTATATCATTTGGATGAAAAATATCTGCTAAAATGTGGGGATCCCATGATCCAGTTGTTTGGTCAATCAACCCTGCAACCTTAGCATCTGCTAACTGTAATGACATCTCAGTTTGGACCATAGGATCCAACTCATCCTGGAGTCAAGGATCCTTCCATATTAAAGTTGATTCACCATTCCCAATACGTCGTCGCACCCCACTGGTAATTAATTCTTTAGCAGCCATAATACTCCTCCAGCAGAATAACCAGGTTGTTTATATTAAAATTTTAAATATAAAAAATCAAATTTAAAATTTATTTAATAAATTATAGAAAAAGTTAATTTTACCAATAAATTGATATATATGCAATAAATAAATGGGATGCATAGATGTATAATATTATATATATGCACTAGAAGAAGGAAATTGTGCACTTGAAGAAGGAAAATTATACACTCGAAGTAAAAAAATAAATCAAAATACATTGATTTACATAAATTTACCAAAAAACCATGTGTGTGATCCTACCTTGGGCAATTGATTTAAATTTAATCAATGGTTGAGATCCTACTTTGGAGAAGCCTTCGCATTTGATCCTTATTCTTTTTATTCACTGGTTATTATGAATTAATTGATAAAAAAAAGAATTTATGAACTTATTTTCGATTGGTCATGAGTTCGATTATTGTCAATACATTTTTCGTCAAACTCATAGCACAAGGTTATTGTAGTGCGATTTACTTCCGCGATGTAGTTTGCAGGCTACTACACACGAGTAGAGTTTACTCAGTATATATCTTTAGATAGTGACAGTGTGTTTCCTCATCACAAAAAAAAAAAAATTACTTATTAACCAAATATACAATTAAGGAATTGAACCATAGCAAATATTGTCACATAATGATATGAAACTTAGGAGGGAAATATAGTATTACTCAAAAAAGTAGGGAAAATGGCACTTTTTACCCCTGAGTTATATACCTATAGCACTTTTTCCCCCTGAATTATTGAAGTGGCTGTTTTTCCCCCTGAAATGTTAAATGGACATATTTACCCTTAAAATAAATATTTCATTTATTTTTCTTCTCCAACAAATTATGACCATAATTTGGTTTAAACCAAACAAACACTATAGCAACCAAACCAAAATATTCCAATTACAATTTAGAATTGAAACCCGATATTTAGAGTTTATTAAAATCGCGAACCGGAACAGACGGTTCATGTTCCGAACTGAAAAAATAAAATACATTTATTGTTGAATTTAGACTATTTTAAAATAAAAAAATAAAATTTTAAAATAAAGACAGTTCAAAATCGCAAACTGGATCCGGAATCACCGGTTCACGGTTCAGGATCCAATTTTTTTAATTCATAATTTTAATAAATTGAAATCCAAATATTGGGTTCTAGATCTGAATCATAACGGAAACTTTGAATTCGATTGCTTTAGTGTTCGGTTCAGTTTGAATTGAACCGTGGTCATCCCTACGTATACACAATAATTTGTTGGAGAAGTAAAATAAATAAAATGTTTACTTTAAGGGTAAAAATGTCAATTTAATATATCAGGGGGGAAATTACCACTTTTAGAATAATTGAGGGGACTAATATGCTTACCTAAATAATTGAGGGGGAAAAAGTGCTATAAGTATATAACTCAGTGGGAAAAAGTGTCATTTTTCCAAAAAAGTAAGTTCATAATATTCACACACTGATGTGATATTATTAGATTGATTGATTGATTTCTTTTAGTTTTGTATTTAATTACTGATTGATTTTTTTTTTTAAATTATTGATAAGGTCAATTTATAATTACGGATTCTTTTTTAAATATTAAGTATTCTATAATCTAAACTTCAATATAATTCCAAATGCTTTATATTTATTTTTATTTAATTAATTTTTGTTGGTTTTAAATCCTGATGTCCATTTTCATTATTGCAATTCAAGACTGCAAAAATCTTTTGGAAATTTCTGGAAAAGAATTCTCAAGTCTAGTTTCACCTTTTATCAAATTGACAAATCAAGAGGCCGGGGAAGATATTTCATCTCAGTAGATTTTTAATTTGATGAAAATGATAGTCACTATAAGAATTTTAAACTTTTATTATGTTGTCATTATTCATGATAAACTTTTACGTCATGACTCACATATAGTTGTTGTCTACCATCATATAACGATATATATATATATATATATATATATATATATATATATATATATATATATATATATATATATATATATATATATATGGAATAAAGTTCAAATGCGGCGGGTCTTCCCGTGCGGCGGTGCGGCGAAATTCCAGAATACACCAACAGTGTTAACAATATGCACCAACAGTGTAATAAAAACACACCACAATGAAATGCAATAAAACATCACAAAATACACAACAGACTCAAAAAAATACACCATATAACTCACCACCCCCAATGGTGTATTTTCGAACAGTGTATGGTGTTTTTACTCACACCTAATGGTGTGTGTTTGGTGATGCGGGGCTCTGTTTACTCTGTTTTGTGTGGTGTATTTTCCTAACGTTGATGGTGCATATTTGTTGAACTATTGGTGTTGCCGCACCGTAAGAAATCGCCGCACCGTAAGACACGGCTGCACATGAACTCACCTCTATATATATATATATATATATATATATATATACACACACACACACACACACTGCACACACATATAATGTTTAAAGATATAAAATTTGGTAACCATAAAGTTACAAGTTTGATTCCTAGCAGTTGACCTTATTGGTTTGAGACGGTTAGTTATGGAAACATTTGTACATATTCTAAGCAAGTAATATACATAGAGAGCAGTGAAAATCTTTAAAATGACAATTCATTACATAGTTGTAACATGGGTACCTCAGTCCAGGATTGAACGTGGCTAAATTGATGGATGCTAGTTATGTCTACAAATAACTAATGATCGTACCAGGACTATGTGGTCTAATGGTACTTGGGTTGAACTTCTATTTGGAAGATTATGAGTTTGAGGCTCAGTATGTAATAGAGCCAGTAACTTTTAAAGTAACTCATTTGAGTTGAAAAATGAAGGTGGAAATGCTTGGAAAAACACTTGTCTCACATTATTAGTTTGGCAAGTAGATTTGCACCACTATATATACAAGACACTTTTAGAAAGAATTTGAATTGTATAGCATAGATGCTGTCTCACGTGTGCCGGGGAAGTGGGGTGGGGGTGCAAATCGATCAAATCTTAAAATGACCCTTTTTCCGCCTTACGGACTAAGTTATGTCAATATTTTGTATATTTTTTCGTGGGTACTCCTCGAAATACTTCTCGGAGTACCATTCTAGAAGTGTTAATTATGATTCATAGGAATTAATTCCAATTTATTTTTAAAGAATTAACCATCGTAACAACTATGTTGAATTTCAGATTAAGTTGTCTGTTATGAAGGTTACAAATTCGAATTTATTTCATATGTTAATGCCATTTCCTGCTCTTCCTTTGAGTTCGATCCGTGTAGTTGTAGTCAAGTCTAAGGCAGCTTCATACTCTTCGATTAATGCGTTTAATTCTTTCTTCAACTATAAAAACTTTGTTGTTGTTTTCTCTCTTCATCTCTCAATTCTTTTCTTAAAACTTTGCCAACACTTCCGAAAAAGTCAAAGTGCTCGTCTGTCCGTTGTTCTAGTTCACCGAGCTTATAGTTTGAGTGTTCAAATTTTAAGTTGTGATCCACTTTATCCTATGAGATTGACGCTACAACACTCCTAGCACCCTCGGGAGATAGTGAATCGATTTTAAGGAAAGTGTGTGTTACACATGACTTGGATCTTTCATCGTTTCTTCATTGGGTTTATATTCAAATAAAATTATAAAACCCTATTTTCATTATTTATTTATTTGAGGGAAAATCATTGTTTTGGTCCCTCAATTATTTTGCAACTATCAATTTAGTCCATATTTTTCAATTTGGTCGAATTAACCTTCCAATTGTTTTAAATTTCGTCAATTAAATCACCTAGCCACTGTTTTGATAACTAAGGACTGACTAGGGGACTTGATTGACGAAATTTAAAATAATTGGAGTGCCAATTCAAACAAATTGAAAATTAGAGACTAAATAAACAATTGGAAGACCAAAACAATAATTTTCCTTTAATTTTATATAAATAAATTTTGATTTTGTACCAAATTTTAGCCGTTGGGATTAATTTTTCTAAAATTAAATCCCTTTGTTTATATTTATATATTATATATATAAATTTGTTTTATCGACTTATTTCACTCCTTTTAATTAGTTCTATATGAAGTATGGAAAAAAAAATGCTTTTGCATTAGATATTATTGCTTATATATAGTAGCTTAAGCGTACTAGCATAAACCAATAAACCATCAAATGAATAATATTCTTTCCAACGTATATATTCTTTGTCTCCTTCTCGATCTCTTACTTGTAGCCCCTTCTTTCTTTCGATTGTCTTTTTTTTTTTTTTTTTTAAATAGTAGTGACTCTCTGCTACAATATAATATTTAAATTTGTGACCCTGCGACTTTTCATTTTCTCAATCTATTGAAACATAAATTTGTGATCTTCTATTTGAAAGAATTAGGAATAAGGGTCAAATAGGCCATCGAACTGCACTCAATAATGCAATTAGGCCACCGAACTTCAAAAAGCTACAATTGGGTCCCTGAACTAACGAATTGTATTCAATTAGTCTAATTTGTAGGTTTCCAAGTTGTTAACAGGTTACCCCTTTTCAAAATTTTTTTTAATTATTATTTAAAATAATTATTTAATATTAATAATTAAAAAAAAAAAAACAGATTGACACACCGGAGACGAAGAAGGTTTCTTCGTCTCCGGCCATGGAGACGGAGAAACCTTCTTCGTCTATGGCTGGAGACGAAGAATATCTTCGTCTCCATAGCCGGAGACGAAGAATATCTTCGTCTCCATGGCCGGAGACGAAGAGTTTCTTCGTCTCCGGCCATGGAGACGGAGTTAACTTCTTCGTCTCTGGCCGGAGACGAAGGAACCTTCTTCGTCTCCGGCCAGAGACGAAGAAATTAACTCCGTCTCCATGGCCGGAGACGAAGAAGGTGACGGTATCTTTCTTTTTTTTTT